GAGCAGGGTACGTGTGTGTGTGTGTGTGTTGTGTGTGTGTGTGTGTTGTGTGTGTGTGAGTTGTGTTTGTGTGTGTTGTGTGTGTTGTGTGTGTTGTGTGTGTTGTGTGTGTTGTGTGTGTTGTGTGTGTGTTGTGTGTGTGTTGTGTGTGTGTTGTGTGTGTTGTGTTGTTTGTGTGTGTGTGTTGTGTTGTGTCAGGTGTGTGTTGTGTGTGTTGTGTGTATTGAGTGTTGTGTGTTGTGTGTGTGTGTGCCGTGTTGTGCGTGTGTTGTGTTGTGTGTGTGTTGTGCGTGTGTGTTGTGGGCGGTGCGGGATGCGCGGGCGAGAGGGAGGCGGAGGGAGGCGCACGAGGCGGGCGGCGGGCGGACGGCAGCAGTCAAAGTATAAGAACCCTACACAAAGATGTGGGGAATTAAAACCCTTCATGTAGAAGACTTTTCCGTGATCCACTGGCTTGAAGCTTGCTGAAATGAGATCTATGATGTCCTTTTGTCATCTTCTTCTCAGTCAAGACTGTTTTTTGGCTGTCGTTCCTAGGGCACCTTTTTTTTGCCGTCCTTGCGGGGGCGCGTTCTTGTTGTGCGGTCGTCCCCGGGTCGTACTTTTGTTTTGCTGTCGTCCCCGGGGCAAGTTTTTTTTTACTGTCGTCCCCGGGGCGCGGTTTGTTTTGCTGTCGTTGCGGGGGCGCTTGTTTTGTGCTGTCGCGCTGAGGCCCGGGGTTCACTCACTCACTGGCTTCCTCGGCTCGCGCACAGACAACAAAACCAACATGATGTTTCTGCAGCAAAAACACGGGTTCCATATATGTATGTATATATATGTATTTATAAATATGAATAACATGTATAAGGGGGGTGGCCATACATATACATATATGTATATACAAATTACTAAATGTCTGTATTAAGTAGTTCAATTTCATGTAATAAAACATGACATAATGAAATAACATAGAATTGAAATAATAATAAGGAGAAGAATAGCCATTATGGTATGATGTAATATAGTATAACTCGCAATGCAGCATAACATACAATGCTTTATATTAAAACGAAATGTATAAATAAATAATACATCGTGATATACAATGAACTATAGTATAACATGTAGTATAGCAAGTTATATATATATATAAGTGTGTATATATATATGCATGATGTACCGTGTAAGTACGGTAGACGATATATTGCATGTAACATGTCATATACAGTACATCATAAGCATATATATATATATATACATATAATAATAATAATAATAATCATCATCTGTAAAATATCATACATAGCACAACATATCTGATTCCTGATATAAAGCAGAAACGATATAACAGACAGTATACAAAATTCAATATTTAATATGTAATGTGTTATATATATAATACATATTGTTGTCAGTAGTATAAACAGTAGTAGTAGTAGTAGTAGTAGTAGTAGGAGTAGGAGTAGGAGTAGGAGTAGGAGTAGTAGTAGTAGTAGTAGTAGTAGTAGTCGTAGTAGTAGTAGAATCATAATTTATATTCTTATTACTATTAGTAGTAGTAGTAGTAGTAGTAGTAGTAGTAGTAGTAATAGTAGTAGCAGTAGGAGCAATATCCATATATATATATATATATATATAAGTATATAGTGTACAATGCATAATATATTCTACAAGCTAACACAGTATACCATGTTATATTATGTGGTGTAGAAATATGTAATACATGATAGACTGTACATACGCAGCAGAGGAGACTGTACAAATGTTCGAGAAGGAGAGGGAGAGCGAGTCCGGGAAGCCGGGAGCGAGGCGGGGAATGGCGAACTACCTCGCTGAGGATGCGGCTTTTCGCAGAAGCCTTCGCCGCTTTGGATGAATCATCATCGTCTTCCCGTGACAACTGCCACAGAATGAGGCAAGCTGTGGCACAGTTGTTCTACTCAGCTTCAAGTCCACATTGACAATTGGTAGACAGATTGCTTTATGGCACGTAAGTCGAATTCGCCCACTCCCATATGCTTGAAATGGGGCTTGGACGAATGTGCTACATGCCACCGTCAGCACTAGCAGAAGGAGGACGCCTCAATGCTCGAGTGTATGCTCAGCAAGAGAACTGACAAATGTCACCCATTAAGGCACTCGCAGATGCCCATGAAAAGCATGGTAAAAGTCTCCTCTTCCGCATCCATCATCAGCACTAGCACAGTTCACGACTCCAAGTCAGAGACACTGGGAGCCACTCCATCGTGAGACTTTGCACCACACTTCGCCTCTGCACCGATCTGTGATCAAACAACAAAGCAGACCAAAACCCGAACTGAAAGGCCTCACGTGGTTCAGCGGATCGGGCGATGTGGCTGCCGTTGCCGATTACGAAGTGTTGTCACCCGTCATGTGCTTAGTGCTTCCGTCCGGATGCTGCTTCTGTTGTTGCACGCTCCGATGGGCCTAACTTCCATGCAGCTTCAAGAACATGCTACAAGGCTGCGCCTTGATCTTGCTGCCGGTTGATATAACTGAGATCGTAATGGATCTCTTTCACCGTCACCCTTTGGCAAAAGCACGGTTGGCGGCTTGCTTTCCACTGGAGCTCTCCGCGGCTGCAGCGCCGGATGTGGCGGATGCACTGCTTACTCCTTCAGCAAACTTCATGGCATCGAGGAGCGCCGAGCAAGTCCTCAAGGGTGCAAACTTCAAGGGAAGAGCTCATGGCATCTCATGGCCATTGCTGTGCCAGGCCCGCCCCGGGCCTGTCCAAGGAGGCCGACACGTTCTTCGCATGCATCTCCTTCAGACTTAGTGTTTCCTGGGCACTTCGGTACTTCTCGGCGGCCGCCTGCCGAACCAGCTTGTAAGCGGAAAGTCAAGAAAAGAGGCACTGCAGAGACCTGAAACTGAGAGGGCGAGGCTGCACGAGGGCGCCTTGGAGATCTGCCGCAGCTCCAGGACTTGAGCCTTGCATGCCGCCAGAATCTTGGATGCCGCATACTTGCACAGAACGATCTGAAGCTGTAAGTCTCGCACCCGTGAGACTCGCACTCGAGGGCGCCAGTTGTTCGGCAGTGCTTTAGCAGCTTGCTGAACTGTTCGAAAGAAGACCGGCACAGCTTCATCGCCTCAGATGCATGTCGTGCTGCTGCTGCTGCTGCTGCAGCCAGAGCTTCCGAGTTTCCTCACCAGTCTAATTAGATGCGAAGTCGTAGATTTTGTGCTTCCGCTGTCCAATCTGCCGAGTTGCTGGAAAGACCAACCAAGGCCGATGCCAGCTGGCTTTCAGCGTGGTGCACCAGCCCTGCGAGGAGCTGCGAGCACTGAAGCACAGCGACTCAACGAAGATGGGATGTGTTGTGGACATTTGTGGCCCAGGATGCAGTTCAAGATCAGAGGCAAATGCCAAAGCAAGCACTCGCCACCTGCCAACCAGCTTATTAGAGGGAGGCGCGGGAAGTCAGCGCAACGCGCTTGAAGCAGTTCCTGGCCAGAAGACAGGTTGCTCTCTTGCAACGAGCACTCTGCGTTTTCACAACAGGGCCTCCCAAAGCGCAACAAGAGGAGGGCCGGAGAGGAAGCCCACAAATCCTGGTGACAAAAAAATGCGCTGCATGACACACGATTCGAGCTACCATAAGCACAGCCAGCCTGAGAGTAGGCAACGTGACCTGCCATGACTTGGCGTCTGCTCGAACTGTGATAAGAATGAGTCTAGTCGAGTCTGAGTGGCGCCAAGGCGGAAATGGACTCGCCCAAACATTGGACCCCCATGAGCTCCGCCAGGCTGGGACTCTGCGACGCCACCAGGGCCTCGGATCGCCGAAAGCCTAAACCATCTCCAGTAATCTCTAAGCTTTGCCAAACCTCCCTGTTCGGTCAAGCAGCTGCAGCCGCAGCCCGGTCTCCGTGATATCCCAGAAGTGCAGGTTGCCGCGAAAAGAAATCGGGCCCAAGCACATCCTATCATCTGCCATGCTCAAAATGAAGATACTGGCAGCATGAGCATAGAACAGCTCAGCTAGAACAGTTCACAGGCCTCTAGAAGGTGTATGAAGAGCCAGAAGCCTTCCTCTTCTCGGCCAGCCTTGGAACATGAATTCCACAAGGCTGCTTCCGCAACAATGTGTTCTGATTCTGTGGATCCGCCTTAAACTTCATGATGCACTTGAGGCAGAAAGGAGAACCAAGAAGGTGCAAAGACTGGATCGACTGCCACTTGCAAAAAACTGCCTTGCCGACAAAGGTGCAGTAAACCCCAGGCACATGGCAGCCATCATGCTGCAGCCTTGCACGTATGTCGGCACAGGATCGCCTTGGCAGTGGCTGGGGCGATGCAAAATGCAGATTTCTCCAGTCCTCCACATTACCGAAAGACTTCAGTCAAAACTCCACATGAGAACGGAAAGGTTTTGCCCACTGTTCCGGTCCGGCAAAGGTGGCGTCTAACACAAACCGGCAAAAGAAGAGGAGGGATGTCTTCCATGTGACAAATCTGGGGGGTGGGGTCCGGTTCTTTGCCCATCGCAGGGTGCAGGGCATTTGCAGGTTGCTGGGATCCGATCTTCAGCTTCCCGCACAGGAAAACCAGATGGATGGAGAGCGCCGGCAATGGAAACGGAAAGAGTGAAGTAACAAACAACATCCATGCATGACAATGGAGACGATGTCGATGACGATAGTGACTAGTAACGATCGTGATGATGATAATGATGATGGTGATGAACATGATCATAATAATCATGATGATGATAATGATGATGACGATGATGATGATGAAGATGATGTCCACACTACCTTGCAGTGCTGCAGCGCACGAGGTCCTGTCCTCACACCCAGATCAACATGCGGTGAGCAAACAGAAGCGATAATCGCACAAATACACACGGTGCCTGTGAGATGACCGCTCCACCAGTGTGTGTGTGTGCAACAAAAATGCCCAATGACACTCCATCAGTGCGTCTTCTTCAATCATCCCAGCTGCATAGCGCATGTCATGTGATGATGCGTCTTTTGCCAGTCATGCACACGCTGCTTTGACTGAAGCAAAGCCATAAGCAAGCTAGACGTGGAAAGCTATCAAATGACGCCAAGCGCAGACTGACGTCTGCTGCCGTTTGGTCTAGATGCTTAGAGTTGGCATAGAATCCACCGCCCATCCGTCTGCACCCAGCGAAAGCGATTGCCTGCATGCCGACAAATTCACCAAGTTATCTTTCGTTCTCGGCGTGTGTTCCAAGCCGCACCTGCGCATGAGAGGAGTACTGGAGGATGAATCGGCTGCTGTAGCCCCACACCAAGACCGACGAATCTTCAACAGCATCGGCAAGCCTCAGGAACCAAAACGACATAAAAAGACCGACATATGCAGAGCATCACACAGGTCACAGGCAAGCAGCCAGTCTTCGAGCTCGACGGACTGGACGACCCCGCAGAGCCTAAACAGTCATCTCTGTCAGGTAGATGTTTGTGCATGCCCGGCTTGACAACCAAAGCTTCACCCTCCGGGGACGAGACGACACTCTGAGGCCAAAAGAGCCCGTGCCAGGCATCGTTCGCGATCCTTTGGGGAATGGTTGAAATAGACTCTCGGGGGCAAGTGAAAAGCAGATCCAAGCATGCAGTTGTTCAGAATAGTGTTGTTTTGTTGCTCCTGGGCAGCAGTGTCGGCGGGCCATCCCCAGTCCCCGTGCTGCGCAGGGATGGCCGGGAAGGTTCGAGCCTTACGGACACGTGTTGCGACCGCGTGCTGATTGCTGGCTTACACCTTTCGGTTCGCGGCCACGTCCAATTGAATTTGGTGGATCACCGCCTCAGGCACCGCACCGGCCTCGCCAAGAGCAAGAGCACGGCAAAAAGAGCGGCTACGTGTTCCCTCCACTGGCGCCTCGGCTTGAGAGAGCAGCAAGCCGTACTGCCTCAGAGTGGGCACGTGAGTCGAGTGCGGTGTCTTTGCTCTAGTTTGGCATATCTTGGCATGTTTATCAGAAGCCGCCTCGATGTCGACGCCCACTTGCGCTGCAGGAGCGGCCCGGCCAAGGGATGCATCGGGGGCAAAGCGTCCCTGCAGCTCAGCTCCCTTTCTGATGTGAGAGCCATGTGGGCATGTGCCATCATGTGCCTCTTCCTTGCTTCTTGGATTCGGGTTTAGACATCTAGACGAAGACCACGACATGAAACCAAGCATAGCACAACCCAGCTTGCAATGATGTACGATGTCTGAAAGTCTTGGACATGCATCCCGAGCCCACGCCTCTTGTCGAGCCCCAAGCAGGCCTCACACCAGGTGAGATACATGCAAGCAGTGCAAAGCGACAGGAATTGAGTGTCGGAGTTGTGTCCCTGTTTTCGAGGCTTGTGTTTACGAACTGCTGCGAAATCTACATATAAGTAAAGCGCTGGTGTCCCTTCTGCCTACAGCAATCCCTGCAGCCAAGCCGCTCGGACACGAGAACGGAATCCCCGGGAGCTACGCCCATGGAACTGCCTTGCAGGACCTGGCGCCTGAGCGTGCAGTGCATTGAAAAGCCTTTCTCCAGTCACCAAAAAGGAATAATTCCACAGCGCCTGGGTGGTGCCCTGCTGCACTCGCTCTCTGGGGTGAGCATGGCGGGCACCCATAGTTTAGGACTCAGGACAAATGGTGTTTTGCCTTCCTTGGGTCTCGTGTCAAGCGTACTTGGAAGGCTCTGGCAATATTGTACCTGATGAGCCGGTGCTTCGGGAATGACTCTGTATGATTGCAGCTTACAGAAGTGAAGCTACCTCAATGCTTCTAGCAGGTTCCAGTGCTGCCAACCTGAAGAGGTGGTCGCGAAGCAAGGATAAGTGAGCAGATGCGCCGCGATAACATTGTTGTCCGGAATCGCTCCACGCAATAACCTCCTTCGAAGACATTGCATCACGTGCAGCATGGACAACATGTGACTAGAAGGGCTGTGACCGTGCTCCGTGAGCTTGAGAAATGCAAGGAGTCATTACTTCGTCCGAAGACATACTGTCCAACACCCGTAGTCGAAAAAGATTGTCGCACCACACGACATCGAGAGGGTCACGTCGCTATGTCTGCTTGTCCACCGTACAGAAAACACTACCCTCGGCTACAGCTGCAGCCTTTTCCGCTGGCTTCCTCGATCACCTGGTCTGAGTTTTCGTGGCAATGCGCTCTTTCTCCTCGCGCTCCTGATACAAGAAATCTGATACCGGTGTATCATGGGGTTAATCACAGCGTGCCATCACATCCGATGTCATCCTCTTTTAGCAGCTTTTCTTTCCTGCTCGCTTCGTCGATCATGTGGCTGATGCCTGACGAGCCACGCGCAAGTCTGCGAAAAGAAACAAAGCAAGCAATGTTCGAGGTCCGAGCCTTTTGCATCAACATCGCAGATCCTCGCCTGCCGGCCGATGTTTCACAGCAGCAAAGGCGGCCAAGGGGAAAGCACGCCTTTTCCGAGCAGAACTCCGTGGCCACAATATCCTCCTCGAACCTTCGGAGGCTGTGCTGTGATGTGCGGTGCCTCCAAATCTTTCCCAAAGTGCTCTGAGTGCCAGGACTCGTCGGATGCCTCATCCCAGCGCAGTTTCACCTTGGGAGAAGGTAGTTGCAGGCTGCATGGTCGAGGGGATGCCGAGCCTCTCTTCTGATGAGGTCAGCATGGTCGTGCATAAAGAGACTGCAAGCTTCCTCGCAGTCAGGCAGGCGAGGCCAGCAGTGAAACAACAGTGACACAGCAGTGAAGGCTGTCCACGCCGCTGCCACTTGGATGGCTCGGATCCTCAAGGTCATAGCGCCGCTGCAGCTTCAAAGTAGCAGCGTACAACGATGGCAAGCGTGATCAAACACGCGCCTCGCACGAAATCGATAGTCTCTGATCCAGAACCTGTGGGCGCCGATTACATAATCACTCTGAATGAGAAACGTGCAGAAAGGGCACGAGGTAGTTGAGGCACTGACTGCATCGGGCCAGATCTTGCGGGTTTCCGTGAGAAACTTCACATCTCTGGATAGCCTGCTTGCCATAAGCAACGCTGTGGGAAAATGCTGCGCCGTGCCCTAACCTGCTCATCACGATGCGGCAGGCATCACAAGCCAACATCCTTGGTGTTCAGCAGTGGTCGGTGGAATTCCTGGCAAGCCGACCCCGTGCCTGTAAGCTTTGGAATCCTTTGGAAGTGCCTCGATGCAAATCTTCGCTCCCGAAGCAAGCAGAGGAGACTCTAGGAGGGCACATTGAAATTGGCAGCTGCCACAGCAAGAAGCGCCGCCAGAATTTGAAGGCGCGTGACGAGAGCCATGTGCAAAATCGTCCAAGGCTCTAGGATCAGGCTGATACCCTGCGTCCCGTATGCAGCCCTTGTCCTAGCGTGATTGGAACCGTGCTTGAGTAAGAGCCTGTGCGAACATCCTGCAAACTCAGCTCCCTAGATCCTTCCTTTACAAGACTCACCGACGCAAAGTCTGCATGACTGAAGTACATGGAGTTGCTGACGAGTCGGCATGTTGGAACGGCTTTTCCAATGCACCGGATCCGTCAGCAGCGATAAAGCGGCAACCATCTGTCACATGAGCAACAGTTTTCCTCCAGGCTTGAAAGAAGAACACAACGAAGATGAAGCTAAATCTTCTGAAAGAGTTTGAGAGTGCTGTGGTAGGCAAGACGAGAAATGCAGCAGTGATGCAAGCATCCGAGCAAGCATGACTCGAGACAAAACTGATGACTGGTGCAGCAAAGTCCTGAGCCCGTGTCAGTGCCGTGATTTCTGAGCTCGCAGATGTAGGATAAGCGAAAAAATCCGGAAATCGGAGCACATCAACCAAGAACCAAGAGTTTGTAACCGCAGCAGTTCAGTTCTGGGGTCCGTATGTGTAGCATGAGAATCGCGCAATGCTCTGTCATACCCGATATTATGACGGAAGATGTCCATTACAAGGTCGCAAATGAATGGCAAGCCCATCCCGGTTCTGCACCCGCAGACATTTGCAGGAAGCCCCCGTGCCGAGTGGCCCTGCTCAGAACAGCATTCCGAGGGTTTATGCTGCATTACACATGGAGTCAACCGTGGTATTTGTATTGTTGAACGAGCCATGCTCCGCAACAGGCAATGGAATCCTACGAATAATTCCTGTTACTTTTCGAAACCCAGCAACATGTCAGGACTACTCTTACCTTATGGCCCCGATGAGCATGAAGCTACTGACCTCTGAGTATCTCAACGGGAACCCGAAACGGAACCACCCCGCTCGATTGTGCCGTTGTACCAGACACTCAGATACTTTTTGGTCATGGAATGTACCAAGACTAGGCCTAGGTGCCCCAGCATTTGCAGCTCCACAGTCTGCTGTTATTTGGGGTTTGCTTTCGGGTGACGGTTTCGCCAAGGGAATCGGAGCCATGTGACGCATCCCCAAGATAGTTTTGAAACCAGAACACAACTGGAAAAACGGAAGGTTACACGATGGAGTGGCGACGGGATGCACCGTATTCGGCTCCTGTGGGCTTTGCCCTTATGCTTTAAAGGACGTTGGTTGCTTCCGGCTGGAAGCTGGTCTTTTCAGCAAGATATGTTCAGCGGACGAAAGCAAGCCCTCAGCAACCATGTACAGAGAGCAAGCATGCTTCAAACTGGGAACCTGTTGGAGGTTCTGAAGAGCTTTTCGGCTTCAGATCGCTAGCGTGTGTGGTTTGAGTGTGCCTGAATTGGAGACTCTGGCGGGTTGGCAACATTGTGAGCCGGACGCCTTGAAAGACGGAGCGTGCAACCGTCCAAGAGTGAGACTCATCAGCGGCCCTTGCAGGTGGTCAACGCAACATGTTTAACAGTGCCCGGCTTTTACGATCAAAAGCTATGAGCTGCCAAAGCTTGCGAAGCCCGTGTTGCAAATTGGATTATCAGTCTTGGCTCGCTTTGTTCTGGCTATCGCGAGCTCGAGCCCAGGGGAGGGGCCTAGGGCACCGGAGTCTTCCTGTCTAGAGATTCAGGATGCAACCGACAGTTGGGAAGGGGATATGTACCTGCTCCGGAAAGTGTTCATACACCAACTGGGTCAGGAACTCGTTGGAGCATTCGTTCTGCCTAGGAGCGCGAAATGGCGTGCTGTTGATCTGAAAGACATGTGACATGATGGAAACGTTTAGCTGCGGGTGTGGCCTCAGAGTACATCCTTTTCACGGTTGGTTGGCAGAAGAATCGAGTCCTGGCAGAAAACCGTGCCCCTGTGATTCCGGCCTGGCAAACATGACAAAAAGGGCGATGACGGTTATCGATCAAATAGACTGCTTTCTCTGTGTCTCTGGTGAGGAAGTTGGTATCTCTCACGATTCAGCGACATGTACTCGTCACCAACACTTGGGAAGGAAAGGGTGCAGAGGGCCCTACACCCTGAAGCCCCACACACTGCAGGCCTCCTAAACCCTAAACCCTAAAGTCCCACCCTAAGTCCCACACTCTGCAGGTCTCCTAAACCCTAAAGTCCCACACCCTGCAGGTCTCCTAAACCCTAAAGTCCCACACCCAGGTCTCCTAAACCCTAAACCCTAAAGCTCTGCAGGTCTCCTAAACCCTGAACCCTAAAGTCCCACACTTTTCAGGTCTCCTAAACCCTAAAGTCCCACACCCTGCAGGCCTCCTAAACCCTAAACCCTAAAGTCCCACACCCTGCAGGTCTCCTAAACCCTAAACCCTACAGTCCCACACTCTGCAGGTCTCCTAAACCCTAAACCCTAAGTTCCCACACTCTGCAGGCCTCCTAAACCCTAAACCCTAAAGTTTAAAGTCCCACACCCCGCAGGTCTCCCAAACCCTAAACCCTGAAGTCTCACACCGTGCTAAGCCCTAATTAAGCCCTAAACCCTAAAGTCCCACACCCCGCAGGTCTCCTAAACCCTAAACCCTAAAGTCCTACACCCTGCAGGTCTCCTCACCCCTACACCTTACGCCCTAAACCTTAGAGTCCTACACCTTAATCCAAGGGGCTCAGAGGTGGAAGATGTGAGAGAAACGATGTGGATACTCTGTTGGAGAGAGCAGGACTGTGCTGCCTGCACACTCAGGTCTGGACCTGGGGCCATTATGTTTTTACTGTGCCTCACAGCTTTCATAAAAGCAACCGTTTATGGTGACGGTAAACAGTTTGGACCGGGCGCTATTCCGATCCTGCTGTACCGGGCAAGTACAGCCGGAATGAATCGAAAGTGTTGCATTCATACAGTTGCAGGAATTGCGCTTGCAATGTCAACTGTTGTACAAGTAGCCGGCTTGAGGGGAGGAGCAGTGACTCGATCAAACTGACGGTGAGCGAACTGTGGATGTCAGTGACCAGTGTCCGGATTTGTTGGGATCTGGCGGCTTTGATACTGTACAGAACCATTGGGGTTTTGACATGACCAAGGGAGGAAAAGTCAGTTTTTGTGGATTCGGTAGGGTCCGCCCCCGCGATGGCTGTGACACGAGGAGGTAGGTTTAACTGCGAGGCTATACGTACTTTCGGAGCTGCATGCTCCGCTTTCTGCAATCGTGCCACATGCCTAAATTCACATGTCAAACATACATGGAGAAATCGCCGGGTCGGAGCACGTTGTGGAGGCGGTGTGCGTTGCAGATGTTTGCAAGACGATTTCGGCAAGCTGTTCTACCCGGGGCATTCGCCTGTTTCGCTTTTACCTGCCCGTTCTTGATGACACAACATCTGTATTCATGCCCGTATCGAGGGGGCAAAACATTGGAAAACATTGGAAAGAATCACCTACTCACGGAGGGCATTTGGCAGCTTGCAGCATACGGTGCTTCTGGGCGCATCCTCCGGCATGACAAGGAATGGCCCGGCATTTTGGCCTAGGTTGTTCGGCTCGGAAGTCAGCGGTGCATGACACCTGGCTGCATGACACGAACAACACCGGGGGTCCACCGAGGTCCACCGGGCCGATTCCTCCCTTTCCTTGTGACGAGACCAATCATCGACAGCATGGCGGAATCTACTCGACTACACTTTCAACTGGAGGATCCCCAGCTGCCGAACGGTGCAATCTTCGGACAAGAGCTGTATAAGCTTCAAGCCTTGACCAAAAAGACGTTCAGTCAGAGATGTCAAGCAACAAACAAGGCAGAGAGCGAAAAACGCAACTTAAGAGCTTCTGGGAGATCTAGGTGCCGGTCCGGCGAAATGTTGCCATGCCTCGACAGTATCTTCGTTGGGCACTGATTGGTTCTCAGAAACTCCATGTCGTCCGACTGTAATATCGGGAATTGGAAAGCTGACCACCCGGTGTGGTGGATCGCCTCAGCTTGTCAAAGACAACGACAACAAAGACAGGTAAGAGTAAGTGGGGGGATGAATCACCCCTGACGTATCCTGATACACACAAGTGCGCTGCAGGCACTGCAAACGCCGAATCGTCCTGATGTCGCTCTATTTTGTCGTGACGCATTCAGAACTTTTGCACTCACACATGAGCATATGCAGCAGAATCCTCCAAGAAAGCCCGGGTCAGTACGCGATGCCATGGAAGATAGGAAACAGTCTTTGCCATGAGTCCCAGTAGCAATCCCAACCGCTGCAGACCCTTCTTAAGAAGGCTGACTTCCTCGGAAAGTCAGAGCCCCCTCTGTTGTATCGGACACAAGCCTCTGCATCCCACTTCTTACAATGAACTGTTGCAACGGCTTTTTCGAGCTGCGAGAGGCACGGAGCTCATGGCAGCCACGGTAGCTACGGTGGCCTACGTCCTGAGATCAGCAGCCACTGCGAGGCTCTGCGGGGCTCGAAAAAGTGCTACCAAGTGTCTCTGGTCTCAGCCTTCCCTCCACCAACTCTCGAAACGTATTCACCTGAGCATCTCGTCATGCCATCAGTGCAAGAACTATCCAAGATTCTACCCAAACCCAAGCTGTGCTCAATGCCAGTTGTAAGCCGATGTCTTCGGCCACACCCTCGATGCCACATGAAACGAGAAGCTCGCAACTTTCCCATTGCAGTCCGCGCCTTGTCATACGCTTTCACCGTGACTCGGAGCTCAAGGCTGGAATCCCTGACAGTTCTCGGACCCTGAGCCCACTTTCAACAGGTCACAAGCCCAGCCTCACCATGGCCGCGCACATGCAAATGATCTTTGCATTCAGTGGCGGCTGACCCTGCAAGTGCGGGCACTGAGCGAGCTCTAGCGAACGACACGGTCCGTCCTCTGCATCAGACGTGGGCATGCAGGCTCCCACAAGAATAAACTTCAGATCCTTCAGGAGCAGATCTCGTGCAGAACAGGATTCAAGAAAATTCGCACACAAGTCCGTGATCGTTGTCCTTGCTGTGCGCAGGAACCGCTTGCTGAATGCCGGCAAGGTGGCAAAGGCCAGCACACCTCACCGCTTAAAGCATTGTGCTTAGCCATTGCTGCAATGCTCCGTGCACCTGCCAACCAGAGCAGACAAGTCCAACGAAGAAGCAGAATCGAAGGTTATGGCCTGACCCGTGCTTCTGGCTGGGTAACCCTGCTGCCAGAAACGAAACTTTGTCGCCTGAACTGCTTTGTGACTCAATAGCTCTGCGGCATGTTGGGACATGTACTCGGACACATCATCCTGGCACACAAGCTCCACTATTGTCGGCATGCCGCGCTGTTCGCACACGTAACTGCAATTCCGACAAGCAGGCGCTGGCTGTCCTCTGTGAGTTGCTGAGGAGTGAGGACTGGCAGGCCAATGCAAATAGCAAATCTCTCCACCACGGAACACTGAGATGGAGAACGCACCAAGACGTCGGCAAGTTGTGGCAGGTAGCTGCAACCTGACCGAGACTGTCATGGAGCCTGGAGATAAGACTTGAAACTCGTATTAGGCCCTGTCTCGAAGGGCTCAACCTGCTTATCCATCGATCCAGCACCTCAAAGGTTTTCATGGAGCAGCCTAGTCTGTCAGACCTCATGCGCACTGTGCTACGGCCGCGACTCTCAGATGCCAGGGAATACTCCACTTCACATCGCAAGACGATGACCTCAAGAAACAGCACAAACACTCAGACGCAGTCAGCTTCTGTGTTCCTATCTGAACTCGTATCCGTCGGGGCTGTCTAGTGTTCCAAACCCACTGCCCCACCCATTCTTACTTACCGGAGCCAGAACCGAAAGACTCGCTCTGCTAGCTTCGTGACTTGCACAAACTGCAGCATGGCATGTTCTCATCATTCCTAGTGGCTGGCACGACGAGGGGACGGTCGCAGCATCGATGACAAGACCCGCGCACAGACCCTTCAGCTGAATGTAAAGCTACCACGGCGTCGACGAGGAACAGCTGCTAGTGCCGCCCGTTCTGAAGACGTTGCAATCCGGCAGGGAGGTGACAAGAACCCGCCAAGGACTGGAGACGCTCTGACCAGAGAGCACAAAAAGGAGAGGCGCTGAGTGCACCACGCCAGGCGATCTGAATGGAGTAGTGCCGAGAATCACTTTCACCTTCACACGCTGCAAACATGCTCCATCATGTTCCATTGATACCTTGCGGTGTTACTGGAATTATCTCTCAATGCTTCGTTGGCGTCGTATCCAGCCCAAGCCGGTCCCCTCTGCTGGCATCGCGTCAGCATGCTGGTCTTACCACATAGCAGGACAACTACATTACGAGTACCAGCTACCCTGCCCATGGCACAGAGTCCGCAGAGAGTCGACCGCTTCTCTCTCGGCCCAACTTCGTTGATTAGCTCGCTCCCTCGCTCGATGTCTTGCTTGCTTGGCCAATCAAGCGGAACTGCAAACACGTCTTTGCCACGCCTTGGCTGATCGCTGATGCAGCGGGCCCTGCACCAAAGTCAGCTGTGTCGAGCCGGCCTCTGGCACAGACGGTTGCATCTTCCCAGAACAAGAATTCATACATCGCCTCCTGTATGGTGACCCCAGCTGGGAAGCTCATCGTCACATCCGAGACAATCCTGTCAACCCAAAGAGTCTTCGTGCATTCAGGCGATTGTGGCTGACCACCGAGGAAGCAAGCCAGGAAGTCTGTTGGCCGTCCAGGTCAGTTCTTTCGCAGCGCAGGTCTATGCGCAACTGCTGCTTCCTCTCTCCACAGCCAGGAGATTTTTCAAATTTCATAATAATTTGCGACAGTTGCATCAAGAAATCCTGAGATTGGGCGATCTCACACAGGCATAGATGGCAAGGTGTCGCCCACGGTGACACGTCCACAGCCGGCCGTGTAGTTCTGTCAGCTCCTGCAGAGCTACTGAGAAGGACTGGACAGACACGCGTGGCGCAGAAGACTCGAACCATGAACGTGATGAAGCACAGCAGCAGTTCATTTCAGGCAGGGGCTGGCCTTCTCAGGCGGAGTTGGCACGGCACTTGCCGTCGAGCTCGAGGACGGGACCTGCCGTTCTGAGCTTCCTGCCTTGCTCCACATTGTGCAATACATTCCGGCGTGACCTGACCAACGCTGTTGGTCAGACCACCTGCCATCCAAGCACGCAATAGAAGGACGAGCCCATCACAACGGCTTGCACTTCTCTACACTCTAGACACTGTACCTGATTCTGCTCCTTGCAACAATGGCTCCAGCCTGGCACACAAACCTCTTCTCTCAATACCTGCCCAGGTGCAGAAGAGGTCAGAAATCCGTTGTGGCAAGTTCCCCCGGCCTGATATTTGGGTGCTGCAGTTCTCTGGGCTTCCAGGCGCTCCCGCATCTGAGCGAGAGGATCTTTCACCTGCAACATGAATTCTGCCATGGTGTGCAGTTTAAGCATGACCTTCACTTGACCTCCACATCTGGAGCTGGCTCAGCCTGCAGCGAAAGCCGATTCTGGCAAGCCCGTGAAAGCACCCGCAGCCTGTGCTCCTTCTGCTGCCTGCGATTCCTGGCAGTTTTACGAGCCAACACAAGCACGGGTCGTACTCCGAATACCACCTGTCCTTGGACTGCCCCAAGTAGAAGATCGACTGAGATGCTTGAGGCGATGGCCTCCAACACAGGCAACGGCAAAGGCCCTCAGTGCTGCAATTCGGAAAGAGGAGCGTGCCCGGTGGCAGGTCTTGACTCTTGCGCTGCCAGTATACCCAGATCGTCCTCATGAAGGAGTTCGTTTGGGAGGCAAAACTTCTAGTCACACATGTCCTTGTAAGTCGAGGCCAAGGAGTACGGATCTGCAGGGTCCGCACCTTAGCAGCAGCTTCTGTCGCAGTGTGGCAACAGCAAGAACTCCGAGGCCAACACGAACTGGAAGAAATGATGGCTGCACATCCTCTGTTTTTGTGAAATTCGCTTTTCCGACAGGTTCCTTTCCCGTGACTTTGCAGGCCGACTCAGGCCCTGGCTTCTTGAGCAAAGAAGGGCTCGTCAAGGTCCACTGACGGCTGAACTTGTGCCTGATGCTAAACGATTTCATGCTGGCACGCATGAGCGACCCCACGTTGGGCAGGAAAGGCAGAGCATCAGCACAGGAGACACGCGCCGGCATTCTATCTCTAGCCATCGCCGCGTATCGCCACCGGCATCGGCAAGCAACAGCGCACTTGACTGCAGCAGGCGGTGCTTTGCGGGCTCGCCTGTGCATCGGCCTTCACCGGCAGCATGGGGTCCGACAGGACAGCGGTTGCTGTCGTGACGCGATCAGCATCTGCCTCGTCATAGAGGCAGTGTGCCAGCAAAAGGACTGGTTGCGCCAACGCCTTGAAGAAGCTGGCCATCTGCAACACCAGAGAGGATCTTTCAGAAACCTCTGCCACTTTCCGTATGACCATGAAGAAATTTCGCGAATGCGCCAAGGACAGAGCATCCACGTGAGTGGAGCGAACGAAAGCCGGCAGGTTGGCATTCAGAAGGTCATGCAGCTGGAACACCTGAGACAGATGCACGAGACTCCGAATGTCCAAGGAGCAGCCGGACCGACGAGGGCCGTGCCACCCCTGGAGCATGATGAGCTGCATTGATGTAGAGCTTTGTGGCGGCCTGCGAGTTCAGCATCTGGACGCATCTGGCTAAAAAACGTCCAGAAAGGGGCCACCACCCAAACACATCGCGTCTGTATCGAGGCGTCCAAGGCCTTTCCATTGTTCGATCAACAGACTTGTATATAACTGCAGCCACGACAGAGAGGTCGCGCTGCGCAAGGCCTGGATTCTTTTGCTCGTCAATAGGCATCGCGCCCCGCTGAGAAACTTTGCCTGCAAGTGTGCAAATGACTGCTACCTGCCATCACAACCTCGAACCCCTTCCCGTGTACCTCCCACGAAAAAGGTTACAAACCGAGTGTTCTGAAACATGATCCACTGCCTCGGGCTCTTCCAGGTCCCCACAGTACTCTCCCAAAGTCCAGGCGCAGGCACCAATCATCGCACTGGCCAGAGGGACATGGTGGGATCATGCATAATGATCCCAAGCCCAGCTGCTGACCAAGCTGGGAACATGACAGTACACTGTATTCTGCTATGGAGCAACCTCACTGCCCCCACCGCGACTCTTGGTTGACTGGCAAGAACAGACCCCAAGTCAGAATACAAGCGAGGGCCACTTGGACACAGGTCCAACGGAGGCTTTCTCGGTGCCTTCGATCTCCCCAGCCTCGGTCACTGCGGGATCCGGCACGCCCTGTGGATTGAAGAGACTGGGACAAGCACCCACGAAGAATCCAGAAGGCTCAGAGCCAGCGTCACCTGGTGGCTGACTTCTGAAGCCTACGAATGTCAGAAGCTGTCGGCAGCCGAGGTGCGGCGTACGGCCGCACCTTAACACAAGAATTAACTGTGAAAGTCAAGAAGCCACGGAAGCATTGCAACTGCCTGCAACGGCTTTGCCTGGGATCTGTACTTGAGGGACGCGAACGCAAATGTCGACAAATTGCTCGGCAACGGTATCTGCGTGTGACGAGTCAATGTTCCTTGCGGCGTACCGACAGGACTCAAGCCAACAGCAACAACGGCACCGGTTCCGCCTGCTGATCTCACCAAGAATCAGCAAGTACCAGGCAAAGTCCTCAGAGCTAGTGTGATGCGACTGCTGAGAACAAGAAGCATCACAGGCGCTCCTCCACCAGCGCATAGCAATCTCTCATGCCCATACGAAGTATTGTTCCGATGAACTCGTCGTTGAGTGCAGATTTCCTCCGTTAAGAGCTGCCAATATCTGTCGATACTGATGGTGGATGCATGTCATTCCAGCCTGCTGAATTCCAGTAGTCGCTGCACGGCCTGCCGGCAAGATCCCACGAGCCATCTGCGAAGAAGCCTTAAGCGCAGCTAGGAGGCCTCCTGAAAATTTGATGGATGAACAATCCTGTCCAGCAGCTGGAGCCTTGCAGAGGCCATGCCAACCCTTCATAAGGCACAAACGGAACCTCTTCGGGATGTCAAGTATCAGGCGCGATGTGCCGAGCTGTCACATCAGATTCCTTCGTGGGACATGAAAACAAAGTGCTATGCTGGGGGAGACAAGACAATCTCACCTCGATGGAGGTGAGGACCTTGTCGTGCAAGTCGCTGACAGGTGCCTTGTCCTGGATGTGTGTTGCGGGCAAAATGGGCTCGGACCATGCTCTTGCAAGCTACCCGTATTGCACAAGCACTGGCCTTGAACTTTTCGATAACCTCCTTGAACAAGGACAATGCAAGGTACCTCGTGGGCGCATGTGTGCGGAATCACTCCTGGAAGCTTTCATCGAAAGAAGGGCCCCGATAAAAATTCAAGTGAAAACCGGACCCTGGGGGCGTCCCAGGATCTGGGGCCGCCCGTCCACCCCTGCCCCTCTGACGTCTGCCAAGCGCGGCCCCACCCCACTTCCCCGAGGCGGCTCTCGTGTGGCTGCAGGAGGCACTCAGTGCCAGATTCGACGGGGAAAGCTAGCGCAAGCTGCTATCGGATGGACATAAAAGCAAGCTGATGGAATCGTGCAAGTGTCAAATTGAAAGCAATCCACAGCTCCTCCAGCTCTCAAGCGAAGAGATATACAACTTTGCAGTGGCAAAGAGCTACTTTATGGAGGGCAGTTCTCAAGTCGAGCGATGGACTGGCCTCAGGTGAAACACATAGGAACTAATTGCAGACAATAGCCCACATGCCTCAAGTTGCGATCGGAGGAGTTCAGAAACGCCTTCGAGAGTGCTGAAGTTGCACCGACTTGCAAACTCCGGAACTCCGGTCCAGCCTGGAGCTTCTCTATGGCCAAGGCAACAATTGCTGTACCTTGCACCAACTTCCCAACAGCTTTGCACAGACGTGTCGTCGGTATTTTGTCGGTGGTTGGCAGTTACACAGACTAGGACCTGCCACTTCGCAAGAACCGACACTGGCGTCTATCCAGTCAGCTTTCACCGGCCTTCAGACATGGACCGGACCACACAGCGAATGGCCTCGAATTCCACACTTTGGGCCTCCGAACAGCCAGCGAAGGAAGTACGCAAGTTCATCAGAATGATAATGGCCTTCGTGGTATTGAGAATGTTCGTCAGTGGCCTGAGCCAGGTTCAGAAACCGTGAACTGCTCAATTCTGCTCTTCAGCCGAGTTCTTGAGGAAATTGCTCCACCAACTTGGCTGGAAGACGAGGCTCCAGAGGCGATAGCAGCTGAAACACCTCCGTCACAGCTAGAACGCAGCGCCCCTCCCGTATCGATCATTCCAACCGAGAAGAGACAGAAGCCTTCAGCAGCTTGATTGAGAGCCAGTTATTGGACGTGTTGACCTGGCATGTGCTGCATGGTCGTTACACGTGGCCTGTGCTGAAATCCGAACACAAGCCGTCAAAAGCCTTGATATCTGCCCTCACTCGACAAACTTTGAAGAGACAGCTGATTGCACAAGGCGTTACAAAAGACCTGAACCCTCGAGGTGTTGCATTGCTGAAGCCATGCACGCTTTCAAGTTACATGATGTCTGTAATCTTGGCTAATGAGCAAGCTTCGACGCTTCTGACACCAGTGCAGCCGAAACGGCCTGCGGCCCACGCTATGCAACCAACTTCCGACGCATCACGGCTTCACATGACCTACCTGACCTACCTGTGCTTGCTTGCAGCCGGCAGTTTGCAAATTCAAGGGAATCCCAACCATTACGCACTCCTCGTTCATGCACTGCTGCATAGCAAGAAGCAGCGCAAAACAACGGAATCGTCTCATCCTGCCAGGCCGGCCAAAACGTGGTACAGCTGCGGAACCAGCGACAAGTAGTTCCTTGCACGGGTGCAGCTGCACGGATTCTAGGGAAAAAACACCGGGATGCCTTGCATTCTTCCTCGCCAGCTCTAAGAAGGTGTTGACCGTTGCCGTAAGCACACCCTGCAGCGTCGACGCAATTACCAGAAGCAGCGAATACCAAGCTTTCGTTCCCGCTATCATGCAGGAAGCCTGGTCTTCGTCATGCAGGCGCTCCTCAAATGCCATGCTCGCGGCTCGCCGGCAAGGCACGTGCTTGCAACATGTGCGACCGTCCGGTCCTTGAGCTTGGGAAAGCAAGTTCGCAGGGCTGGGGGGTCCTGCTCCCAAGGTTAGGACGCCGACTTCAAACAGGAAGCATGCCATGAGAATTCGAACACAGCTTCGGGCACAGCGAGGGGCTACGGACACGAAACACTCGTCAAAACTCGCTGAGCCTTCAGGAAGATCCTGTAGAGACAAAGCACAGTCTTCCTTAGCTCTCTGTGTCGGGTCGCCCCAAAAGCACGCTGGAGGGCAGTGTCCAATGTCCACCAAGCATCTTTCTCAGATATGCACGAGAGGAGCTCAACCTGATACAAAAGCCGTGCTGGAGGCTAAGCACAACAAATTTGACAGGGGTCAAAACAAAGACAGCAGGTCGGTGATGATGTCCCTGGAAATCTGGCAGAGAAAGCGCGGTCCAAAGGGCGGCAAACTCTGAGAGCCGAAGGCGGACCTCTGAGGAGCAGATGTTGCTCAAGCAATTGATCGCCATCCCAGTCTGATACTCGCTTTTGGAACCAAACTCCTGCATGTTGTGCGTGTTCTGTAACAAGCTCGGATGCTTCAACAGCGCGACGAGCGAGGACAAGAGAGCCTTCTTGAAAAGATTGATGGTCAGTAGTCCCACGTCGGTTTGGTCAGTAAAGGCTATGCTGGAGGCGAGGTACCTCAGCTGACAGCATTGCACCAGCCAGCCGCAGGACTCTCCATAGATGAGACGCCGACCCTGGGCGCTTAGTTGCAAACCGGCTGGTGCTCATCACCTGTCAGCATGGTGCATCGCCAAACCAAGAACAGCATCTGCCCAGCCTCCACCACAGCAAACGTGGCCCAGCCCATGTCGTAGCCCAGCATGTTCAAGTAGGCAAGCTGACAAAGGGCAGCACTGCGCACCAGTATGCACCAGTCAAGAATACTGAAGTCGAGCTCGAACGCCTTCAGGACAGCCATGGACTTGGTCGCCATATTTTTGGAGGTAACCTGGTCCAATGCAACGCAATCTGCGAAGCAGTTTCGTGCAAACGCTATGACGATGACAGAGACAACGCAAGCATTGCACGTCAAGTTTCAGTCCTGTCTCCTGCGTGTGGATGGGACTGCTAAGATTCCGTGTTTACGAGGAAGCTGTTTGATCGGGACTTCTTTGCGACTCATCTTCACTGCTCAACAGGCTCGATGTTGACCTGCTCCTGGCCTCGTTCTTGATCTCGGTGATACAGGTGTTGATGTACTCCTGTAGCACCGCTCACAACCCCAGATGCAACCACTGCAAGTTGTAATGACTGATCAAACATGCCAGCATGTCCGACTCTTTCCCCCGGTGGGCACGGATGCCCTTCACCATGGCGGTCAGCGACTTCTCGAACACCTGACAAGTAGATCAAGAACAAGCCCTGTCTATGCAGTGACCAGGATTCGCAGGGCATCGTTCTGAAGCATAAGGCGGTCGCCATGGCTCTTCCAGAGACAATGCCACTGTCCCACGGAAGACGGGTCCTCTGTCCATGCATCTTCGGCCATGAATCTGTCACTCAAACATATGACATAGTCAAGGAAGGCGTCCTCACCTTGTCTGCTCCTTCACTTCAAAGCATATCAAGACGGAAGGTTCTTGCCATCTGATCACATCACCGTTCTGTATGTAGCTTTTGGACTCTGCCCTGCTTGTTTGTGGCATACATGCTTAATTTCGCTGTCACCTAACATTCACGTCGACACCACTCCGTGAGAGAATTATAGATCATTGGGTCACAAATCGTTTTGTGCTCATGTCAAAAACAACTGGAGTGGACTAAGCTTCGCTGGAGATGCTCCAAACACGTTGCAGAACGTCGCAGCATCAGAGATGAATACCCTGCTACAGCACTACTGTGCGGTCGCTGTCCACGCAGAACTTCTTCGACACTTTGGCCAGAGCTGCAGGTCGACTATTGGGTGAGACTTCTGCACTGTACACAGCATCGATTGCTGCTGGTGTACCGCTGAATGCTGTTGCAAAACACGTGAACTATTGTGATGATGATGATGACGACGATGACCCTCTGAGTGAGTATGGCACTTTGCAGGCCATAGGCTTTGGCTTTGACAAAACACCACTTGAATGAGGGAAGCATGAACGCATCAACCCATCCTCTCAGAGAGTGCTCACCTCGATGACCTACAACGAGGAAGAGCCAGTCTCAATGCCACCCTGCTTCACACCCAGTCTGCACTGCTTGCCACAACGGGTCAGGATGCGCGACAATGACAGATGTGCCCGGCCTCTTCGTCGGCTGGCAGGATCCTGTATCTGACTGTTTGTCCAAACATAGTATGAAAGGAAGGTCCAGGTGATCTCCGATAACACAAACTGCCACTAGAAAACAAGACGTTAAGTCAGCGGCTCTGGCTGCTGCGAAGGGCTTTGCGCCAGAAGTTTGCCAGTTGGGTTGACCGAAGATGGCTCCGTCGGCTCCTGTCACGGAAACCCTCCGCTTCAGAAAATGTTGGCCTTGCACCATGACTCTCCCCGGAAGCTCAGCTCCCTCCTCCCACTTGATGGGTCTGTCCAGCTGCCAGGTGCCACGACGCGTGAAACCCTGCCAGAGCCAGCATGCGACACAGCTTTCCCGAAACGAACGTGCGCTAACGATTTCCAGCCTTGGCGTTGGTGTAGGTTCCAATGCCATGCCGCTTGCCGGCTACCTCATGAACGAAGTGATTTTTTATCCAGGAACGGAGGTGCTGCATTCAGTCGCCATTCCCTTGCATGTAAGCACTTCTTCTCGCAATTCCGTTTCTTTTGACATGCAGGACCTTGCAAACACCCGTGCCAGGGCGCTTAATCCTGTTGACTGCAGTCTTTCTCAGTCCTTTTCCCATGTTCTCAGAAAGCCCTGGGTGGCGTTTCGACAACAGCCGTCTCAATCTTTTTCAAACCAAGTGGGGCTTGTCGGAACAAGTCGGCCGCGACATGTATGTTCGCAGCCAAGCTGACAACTTGACCATATCTCGATGACGACTCACAGAACTTGAATGGCAGATGATGTTTCGTCACCAACTTTGACAGAGCTGACTGTTGACACAGGCAAGGCACTTAGCGAGACGGTGAGTGTGTCATATCGCGTCTTCACATCGGGTCTTCTGCAGCTGAACCGTCAAATGCCAAAGAGAGTAAGGCGTGAAAACACATTGCATCTGAAACTCTATGGGCCCCCGAATTCCAAGCTTCAAGCCCACTGTCCTTCGTATCTTCGGCCATCCTGGCATCTGTAAACCATGCGCTCTATTGAGATAGAAAGACTTCACAGCACCACCTGCCACGAGAAGGTACCTTCCCCATGCTTTCTGTCCTGCACATATAACTACATAACTCTTGAAACAGATGGGTCATACGACCGGCGTGTGCACGCCAGCCTCTGAATACTGTCCGATGTATCGGCGACCATCCGGCCATTGCATGACCTCAGTCTGTCCACGAAATAAACCCACAGGACTGAGCAACTGCCACGTTCAGCACAAAGTCTGCTTCGAAGCATCTTGGCCGGCAGCCGCTGCACCATGGAACTGCCCCTGCTGGAACCTGACACATGCACGGTCACGTAACATGTTTGCTGACGCAATGACGACCGCAAATGCTCTGGTCAACAGCCGCAGGAAAGCTGGGCCAGCTACCCCCCTTCGTATCGGCGGCCATCATCCCACGAGAGGATACCAATCCTGCCAAACTTAGTTTGTCCTCGGGAAATCCTGATCTACAAACACGGCCGGGAACCCGTGTTTCAGATCGTTTTGAAACTCGCCCTGCCAGCAGGAGGGGCGGCTGTGCAAAGACAAGGCCACTGGGGTAACGCTCCAGTGAAGCCTCGTAAACGTAGTTGGGCATTCTCAAGCGCCCTCGACCGTGCCTTTAACGAGCAGAGCCGGATAGTGTCAGTGCCAAAGCCTGCCAAAGCGACTTGCTGGGGAGCTGGCTTCATGGTTCCAAGGTAGGTGCCCTCGTAGTGCATCTCACCTTCGCGCCTGCCCTGAAACAGGACACCGCAGTCGGTCACGTGCACGTCGTCCGGTCACGGGGCAAAACGCCGCCTCGTCCAGGCCTGGAGCCTTGAAATCCTTTCGGGGAGTGGGTCCTCATGTTGCGGATGTGGCAAGCTTCCTTGTCTATACAACGCCACAATAGGCTTCGGCACGCTGCGTAACGTCCTGGGGTCCGAAATTCACCACCGACCTGCTCCCGTGGAGTTGCCATCGCGGAGACCTCCAAAAGGACCATCTCGCATCGCCGAATCGCAGTGCTTCTGCAACCAGAAGAGAACCAGATCTAAACTGCCTCGTCAAAACGAGGCGACTCCTTTGGCAGAGCCTTGCTCTTGTCGTACACCTCCAGCACAAAGGACACATATCAGCAAGCGAAAGTCACATCCAATCCAGACCTGAAACCAATTTGGTACAGGCGGCACATTGGCAGGATCCGCCTGTGCAAAACGATCCATGCATGGCATCACAAACGTCGATGCATGAAGCTTGCCTTGCCGGACCAGCTGGATTTGGAACCAGAGGAAGAACTGCCTTGCCTGAGAGCTTATCGCATAACCATCTCTGAATTTCGTGAATGCGCAGCAAGTGCGGTGGACTGTGACACAGGGATTATCAACTCCCGACAGGCAGGTGCGCAAGACACGGTAAGCCAAGTTCTGAAAGAAAATCTGCTGGCCACCAGTGACCTGAGCACCAACAGTTGAAACAGCCGAGTGAGTCAGATTGGAAAACGGTTGCCGTGCAAGTTATCTCTGCGACTTAACACTGAGCACAACACTGGAAGCTCGATGTTCGAATCTGCAGGCTCTGCAGAATCCTGGTACTTGCAAGACCGTTGAATTGCACATGTCAGGCCTGCACCACCAGTTCGTGCCAAGCAATATGATCAGCCAACCGCACATGTCATGCCTGCCCGTTTGCTCCGACCCGCTCGATGGAAACCTGAAACCATGCACTCAACCACGATCTTGCAGTTCGCTCAGTGATTCAACAACTGCTGTACGATGCAGCGAAACTGCTTCTGCAGATGTCAACAGTACACACTAACCACACCCACTGAGGGTGGCCTGAGAAGTGGCATTGGCGGTCCCAGGACAAAGAAGTGGTACCAGTTTAACCTTCCACATGGTTGCAAATGTCGCAACACGGCTGCTTCAGAACCCCAACCACATTTGCTCGCCCAAAAGATTCGTGGCAGTGTCCAGCCAAGTTCACGGCCAATGGCTGCTCGGCATCATCTGTGCGAGCCCAATCACGCATACACGTGCTGCCTCAAGGACCGACTTTCGTAGCTCGAAGTTCTGAACTGGGGTAACTGGAAAAGCGTACCCACAGTTGCTGTACAACTCATTGTCTTTGCTCCCAACTCAAACTTCTCAACGGTGTCACACAGTATAGACATGCACGCTTCACGCAAATGTAAAGAGCTGAATGCACACGCATCCGCATGCAATCTGTCTGGATGCAAGCGAGGCGCCGAAATTTCCCATGACGATGGGGCTGCGCTTCTATCACGGAACGAGGACGCACCGGGAAGTTGAGGTTATCGATTGTCTAGGCATGTCGTCCTGCACTGCACACAGCATTGAATCTACGGAATTACGAACGGACTGTTTGATACGTCGATTTGTTGGCATCGCATCGATGCCACGCGCATTGCTCACACGTGGCTCGGTCCCCATATCACAAAATGTCTCTGGCACATCGCAATCAACGAAAAGCTGGCCATGCTCAAGATTTACCAAACTTGCGGGCTTGTGGATAAAGAGGAACTCGCTGATTAGGGCTAGCTATGCTTGAGTGTGCTTGCAAGCCAAAAGCCGGCTGGACAACACGACATCAGAGTGAACACAAACAGGGGTGAAACTCCCTTGGCTGGAACCAACCCGTGGCTGGAACAAACTCCTTCGTGGAACAAGCTCCTGGCTGGAACAAGCTCCCGGTTGGAACAACCCCCAATAAAAAAAATGTATGCTGTGACTGGAAAACCCTCTTGCCTGGAACCCCCCCTGGCTTGGAAAAAAGCCCTGGGCTGGAACAAAATCCTTGCTGGAAACAGCCCCTGGCTGGAAACAGCCCCTGGCTGGAAACAGCCCCTGGCTGGATCTCAGGTTCCAGAAGCCTTCACGCTTTCGGCATGCCTCAAAACTGCGCGTTCTCTTGTGGAAAAATTGAAGCGTCCAAAACCACATCTGCCGCAGAAATTTTGGAGCAAGTTTCCCAGGTGTTCAAGACAACCTCTGACCCCTAAGGAAAGTCCAACATTTTGTTGCTACATTTGTTTTAAGCAAAACACTGAAAAGCTACCTCTGCTCTACTTGAAAGCGACCTCTGCTTCTTGAGGAACGTCCAAAACCACGTCTGCTGGATAATTTGTTAAGCAAGCTTTCCCAAGGTGTCAAGACTACTTCTGGCACTTTGAAGAACATTTTTGTCGCCGCAGTCATTTTGAAGCAAAGTATTTGAAAGCTACCTCTACTCCTTGAAGCAGGTCCAAAACCACGTCTGCTGCAAAAATTTTGGGGCCCCAGCCGCCCAAGACCACCTCTGACCCGTACGGAAAGTCCAACATTTCTTTGCTACTTTTCTTCAAGCAAAACACTAAAAAGCTATCTGTGCTCTGCTTGAAAGCTACCTCCACTCCTTGAAGAAGGTCCAAAACCAGCTTTGCTGCAGAAACTTTCAAGCAAGCTTCCCCAGGAAGAAAGTCCAACATTTTCTTGCTACCAGTTTTTTTGTCAAGCAAAAGCCTTCAAAGCTACCTTTGCTTCTTGAGGAAGGTCCAAAACCACGTCTGCTGCAAACATTTTCTTGCGCACTCTCCAAAGTTATGACTACGTTTGCCGTTTGAGGAAGGTTCAACTTTTTTGCGCTGCAGTCATCTTGAAGCAAAGTACTTGGAAGCTACCTCTATTTCTTGAAGAAAGTCCAAAACCACGTCTGCTGCTCTTGAAGAAAGTCCAACATTTTCTTGCTACCGGTCTTTTTAAGCAAAACAGTGAAAAGCTACCTTTGTTTTCTGAGGAAGGTCCAAAACCACGTCTGCTGCACACCTCTTCAAGCAAACTCTCCAAGGAGCTTCATGACTACCTTTGCCCTTTGAGGAAGGTCACCTTTTTTTTGGCGCTACTGTTATTTTGAAGCAAAGTACTTGAAAGCTACCTCTACTTCTTGAAGAAGGTCCAAAACCACGTCTACTGCGGAAATTTTGGAGCAAGCTTCCCAAAGTGTTCAAGACCGAATAGCTCCAACAAGAACATCAAGAAATGCTATTTTTCGTAATTCTGCATCAACGGCAGCACACGGACATCACATTTGATCTTGTCCGGCAATGCTTTCGGCACCTCCGCACAACTGCAGTTGACGTGGAGACCGCCTGTTGCTTAAAAGCGGCCGCCCAGAGCTTCCAAAGATGTTTAAA